TACCAAACAAAATTTTCTTGCCCACAACTCTGTTTTTACTTAGGACAAGGGTGTTTTAAAATAAAGTCTTGGTTATTAGAGGTTGCTGCAAACTTCTGAAGTCAAACTAGACTCAGTGTTTCCGTATACTATACGGTGTTTATGAATAGCCGACTTCCCTCAAATCGATAATGGAATATTCGAGTGGTTCTATTTAGAAATAAGAATAAGAAACCTGACGAATAAATTATTTTCTTGTTTGCTCTTTTCAACTGATTCAGTCAATTGCTGTATAATGAGGTGATTTGTTTTAAAATTATTCTTGCTCAAAACTCAAGATGTCTTTGATATTACGAGCGGTCAGAATTAATTTACGACTAATAATCGGCTAAAAAAATTTACTCATAGGGGAGATCTGACGAACTGTTATTAGTTTTAGAATGCTTGTCTCATTCACAATTTAACAAGTTTAACACAAAAACATCAATAAATGTTATTTAAAACATATTTGACCGTAGTACTTAAATAAGCATACCTTTACTTTTGATTGTTTATTGATTGTTCCCTTAATTGCGTTCTACAAAAAAATAAATTTTGGCTGATTATTCACCATCAACTATCAATGGATGTGAACTTTCATTTGTCTTACTAATTCTACTATAACAACATAGAATTACTTATCATAAATGTTAGTTTTAATTTGGTAGCTACATTACTACAATCATTGACTTTTTTTTTATCAGCTAATGAAAAGAGATCTAAACTACTGATAAGAAATTTAAATAAAAAAAACCATGAATTTTAAATGCTTAGATTGTTTAGTTTAAAAGAATTTAGCAAAGGCAGTTGGCGAACAACTGAGAGCTATAATTCATAGGACAGGGGATTTTGGCACCCCCCAGGTCAGCTCTTCTCACACACGCTTGTTTTCAAACTATAGTGAAAAACTGCCCTTGAAATGAACAAACTCACCAAATTCTCAATTCTTAATCCTTATGAATAAACTGATCATTCCAATTAGTCAAAATTGAAAAGGAATGTTAGTGAGTAATCAAGGTGTCATAACTCTTTAATCACATTTAAATTTGTCTTTGGTATGTTGTAAATATTTTAAATATTTAATCTAACGAATCTAATCTTGTTATTAGTAGTACCACATTGGTTGGAAGTGTTCAAGGATAAATATGCAGGCTGATGTTTTACATGAGTATGTGTATGTATGTGTTTGAAGTAAAATGGGAGAGAATTACTAATTTTTTTTTTCTTAGAATAATTCGAACCTTAATTTTTCATCAAAAATTTATGACAAACATTTTCAACAGATCATATTACACAAGATATGTGTTTTTAAACACTTATGCTTACAACAAAAATAAAACAACCAGTGATCACATTACAAGGGCGCCCAAGATATGTAAATATTTAAACTAAACCAGTGAAGGTGTTACATAATTCACGATTAAAAAATAATCATTCAAGTATGTCAACAAATAGACAACTAATTTGTTTTGATTTCTTTCAGGGTGAAAACATACACTATTGTAGGAGTTTGCAGTCAAACAAAATATGATAACATGTAAATGAAATGTCATGTGTCAATTTATGTTCAGCATACACTAAAACACGACTTCAAATTTTTACGACACGAGGTTTTTATGAAGACTAGTTTAGTCTTAAAATGCCTTTCATCACTGACTGGCGTCATTTGAAAGACCATCGGCAGTTTTGATTTCGATCCCTCATAAAATTATAGATTCTGAGGCGTGATTATCTAGAACAACAAAACCCCTACACGTCCCTAATTTTTAATGGCTCGTCAGCTGATATCGCTCAGAAAGAAACTCTTTTCGAATTTTCACAAACTTGTGAGACGGTAGAAAGACGGTAAATGAGAATTAATGAGAAAATCATTTTGCTGAATTCAGGAGGTCAAGAAACATACAGTTAACCAGATTACAGAAATCTGTATTTATTGATTTTAAGGTTTCATTCTTGATTTCGATATCACCGCCATGAAGAGTTTTGTCTTCTGCTTCAATTTACGTCACATATAGTAGTGAACTCTAATTAACCACTGGTCAACATATATTCTGTTTATCTCAGATTACAATATAGATGACTCGAATTATGTAGGTGCTATTAGCAAAATCAGTTCTTTTAAGTTATCAGACTGTCCGGTAGTGGGAATTAAATCCCTTTTAATTCATTTAATTAAAATAGGAAGTGAAGTAATACTCATAAAGTCCAATATAACATCTGGTTGTCGTTACACGTTAGATCACAATGGTTGATTTTTTAAATTCAATGGGACTAAAATGTGGTGTTTATTCGAAATATTTAGACCAAATTTCTTTATCGCTATAAAATTAAATAAGTGCTCGTGTAAATGTTGTGGTTAATGTATGAGCAATATGTACTGACTTGTGTAATGAAGGATATTTTGTTTCTGTTGGGATGGTTGAATACAAACTGTCTCAATCCTCAAATACATCGTTAACTCTGATCATATGGTACCAGGAGAATCGTCCTTAAAATCGTCCTACAGAGTAAAATGAATTGGCTCGAAGGTTTGGGTAAGCAATTTGTGCATAGCTGAAGATTTAAAAATTTCAAATCAGACTACTCTATACAAGATTCCTGTTCACTCCTCTATTCTTTCACCATCTTCAGATCCATGCTAATTTTACGAGTCATAAATGCTAATTATGATCTTGTTTTTAACATTTTTCTACTCATTTTAAGGGTAAACGATTGTCTTTTGCATTTACGGTATAAATTATTATTTTAATATGGTGAGGATTTATCAATATTTACAACTGTTCATTTGTACTTCGTTCTAATGTTTAAGACTGTAACTGATCAGACGCTCTTCACAAATGAATTAAAGCTCAACCTATTGAACAAACCTATGACAATTTGAAGTCAGAAGCCAAGTAGATAGAACGATGAATTTTGAAATAAACGGTACCGGCGTTCGAGTCACGGTGTGAACATCAATTCCGGGAGGCAGGTACAGCTAGCTGACGAGCCTCAAATAGAAAATAATTTCTTCTCTGAGACGCCTTTCTTCTTGCGAATGAGCAAATGAGTTTCTTTGGTTGAGTTTGTTTTTCATGTTGTGAATTGCTGAATATGGAAAGATTCTACCGAGACGAAAGAAAATAGAAGTGAAGATTTTAAAATTTCTGTTTTTTTAATGCCTAATAAACCTTCTTTAAAACTGTTTTATAGCTTTACATCTCAATGAATGATCATGGAAACAAGAAATGACCTAGTAACATACATTGTAAACAGACAACTTATACACTTTTTTCTTATATAACCATTGAGCATCACTAATATCGCCAGTGTTTTTTGAAAATTTTCATAAACTTATTAGCTGATTAAGTTATTATGAATCAATCTTGTTGTATTAAGCGACAATAAATCTGAAACTAGATCAGTCCAAGTATATAATTGTTGAATTCTTCACATTTCCTATACAATCAGTGTTGTTAGTTCTCTTGACTACTATCACTCTGGAAGATGTTGTAAAAAATTAATGGGGAAATGTTATAAATACTAACCCTTATTTTATCCAATTTTTATTTAAGTACTCTTCATAAATTGTTTTATCTAATACTATACATTTTACTACTTATCAGCTACATGTCATAAGCAAAAGTCCCCCACAAAGTAAGAACTAGGATAACCAGAACTTTTATTAACAGTCAGTAATCAACTAACGTATCTCTGTCTTAAAGGAAGACAGTTGCAGTTCAAATAGCTCAGCTACAACATCTGAGATCGTAAAGCTGGTTGATGTAAGCTCGATTCCCACAGGCAGATTAATTCTCTGAAGATTACGGGTACATTTTTCTGATTATTGCCAAGCAGCTCGAAAATTAAGCCTAGAGTTTCCTTCTAACTGCCTTCAACCACCTAATATAATTGGTAGTCGTTTGTTTTATAATGAAAAATGAAAGAATGTAGCATACAATAAACTTCTAAAGTACATGATTTCTGAACAAACTTTATTGTAACTTCGTACCAATCAGTAAATTACTGAAACCATAGAAGTATCGTCCAACTATTCAGTCCTATTGAGAGATTTATCACTAATTTCTACTTCTAAAAAGTTATCACGGAATTCTCATAGTTTACAAGTATGAACAGACTGGAGTGCAACTTATACATCACCATGTTTTTACTATACCATAGGACTCCTCAATAATGAGCCCCCATGACTTCACAAAAGGTTTGTCCCAGAACTTCCAGGTTTCTTGGCCAGTGATCTACCGACATCATACATTTTACATACTTAATTTAAACCAAATCGTGACATTGTTCAGCTATCCTTCAGTAAGTAACTGCCACACATCCGACGCTGTTGAACTCCACTGGTCTCATCACATTTGAACTCCGGAAATTCTTCATCGAAATTAGTCACTAGTAAGTAAATGATAAGTTATCACTATTGAGGTTTGTGGCGTTTGCTGAATGTTATTAAGGTCACAAGCAGACATACAACCAGTAAAAACCAAGAAGCATTGAACAGTTCACTGCTGAAGAAGCCAATAACAGAGAGATAAATCTGTTCAGAATTTGGCTAGATTTCAATGTCTGGTTTAGATTATTTCGAAATCTCATTGACGTCCAACAATGTCCTCAAACACATACTAATCCTTTATCTGTATGTTAGGATGATTGATTTTTTAAGGTTAGTTTCTGATTGGCTGTGACTATTTCTGACATCAATCACTAATATCCTTTATGTCCTTCCTTAGACAGAAGCCGTTTTTTCTGTGAATAAAAGTTAGGGGTAGAGAATTCAGCAAACACTTTTTTCTCTAACCCACGTTGTATCTGAATTAAATGCAGCTGAAGTTAATATTACCCAATGAGAAAATAATATAAACAAAAGAGTTTTCTGATTGGTGAATAATCCCGTCTTTTTGATTCATCCGCTAGAAATCTTAGATTTACGACGTTTTCATGAATGATGTAGATCATTTTAGTAAACATTTTATGAAATCAAGCGAATGACTGGGAGAATAAAAAATCATACACCTTACAATTCCAACATTACTATCACCTCTGACAGTACCATCTATAGCAATAGTCTGCTGATTACACCGAATGGCAAGCGAAGAGGACGTAAACCAGGTTTAAATAGTACAGTTGCACAACGCAGTGCAGCGAATGCCAGAGAAAGATCTAGAATGCGCGTTTTATCTGGTGCATTTGTTGAATTGAAAGGTGCACTACCATGGGTTCCTAAAGATACAAAACTTTCCAAGTTAGATACTTTAAAACTGGCCGCTGGCTATATCGCCTACCTGAGACGTATATTAGACACATCGGAATCACACACAGTAATTTCGCGACCATCTGCTGAGCTAATAGACGAATCAGGAATAGTAAGAACAGCTACATCATTAAAACTGTCGACTAGTCAGTCGAATTTTGAATTGAATTCAAATTTACACGAAAATTCATTACCGGATACGATCAAGTTATTCAGCCTTTTTACTAATAATGGTGGTCTAAAGAAACACTGTTATGAACATTATTCAAAATATACCTATAAACATGAAAAACGAAGGGGAAAAGAAGAAGAAGAGGAGGAGACCTTTTCATCCCTTGTTGATCATAATCAACAGCATCAACATCTTCTAAATCAAGGTGTTAATCAGCAGTATTCTCAGTCAGATGACTGCATTGTTGATCATCATCAGCAACATATTTCCTATGTACTAGATTATCAGTATGACCAGGATCCATCTCAGCATAATCATCATTTACATATCGTAAATTCTGTCGGTTATCAAAATCCTAACTTATTATCAACATCAACATCATCACCATCACCGACTACAATACAACCGGCCACAGATGTAGAATTTCCTACCAATCAGTCAATAAATGAAGCATTCAATAGTGATAATAATAACAACAGCAATGATAATTCTATTTATTGTATGGGATATGTGAGTAACAGCTGTTTAACTATGAAAAATATCCCACCAATTGTTCATCCTGAATTATACCCTAATCAACATGAATTTAAATCATCAATATCCTCATATCTTGATAATATTTATGTAAGTTTTGTTATATACTATTCATGGTTAGTATGTTTTACAAAGTCATTAGTGTATTTTATTTTTTTTAAGTAACAAGCACTGAAATTTAACTGTGAGATTTTCGAATTATTCAGATTGGAATTTACAATATTATTGATTGTTCATTTAAAGGAGAGTTTAGTAATCAATAAGATAAGTTCAAACTGGTTCCTGTAACTTGTGGTCCAAATTAAGAAGTTGTTTATTTGTTGTTATGAAACACGAGGCCTTTTTTATGAATGCATTAAACTTCTAGTAACCTGTCATTTGGTTAGATAGTTCATGTAGTTAAACAATCATAACTGAGCAATTTTATATGCTTATCAATCAGAATTGAAGTTGAAGCTAACCGAAATGACGGATAAAAGATAGGAATTGATATTTAACAACGTTAAAGAAAACAAACTAAATAACCTGTTCTCAAGACTGTTTCTATCATCATCACTAGTATTATTTCTCATAGCAATGCTATTAATATTGCAGTTGAAAATGGCTATTTATTTTAACTCTGTAATATCGGCTTTTCTAAGCTATCAAATCTGTTTATGAGGATGATTTCGATCATATTACATGAGGACTAGTGTAAGTTGTATGCTTACATGATTTCAAATCTATTACCTATCACCTCAACCTCAACCTCAACAGCATTATAGAATTAAATTTGCGTTTTGAAATCGATTTTAATAATGATTAAAGTTAACTAAATAACCAGTAAATAAAATTCTAAGGATTAGTGGGTGCAGACAGTTAAGTTGCGTCAAACTGAGGAGAAAATACAGAATATGATTAGAATAGCTTTATCTGACGCTACAGTGTGTAATGTAATGATGACTAAAAGTTGTGAAATTATATTGATACTGTTCAGTTGACGAATTCTTGGAAGATGTTTGATGATCAATTACATCATCATTTAAATACACAAAGTTTTGCATAATGGATCAAGGATATTGTGTTCTAGTTTTAGCTGAAACACATTTCCAATTTTAATTAGGCAGTTTTAGTGAGATTTCCTCTTACTTTCAAAATTTTTTTCACTAGGGACAAAATACCTCATATTATTCCAATTGAAAATATTTAGAACTTGGTTTGACTGGTCTTTATGCCGATCAAATCGACTCATAGATGAAATCTAATTTCTCTAATCAACAGACTATGGATTATGACGAAAATCAGTTGGAGACCATTTAGAATTTGGTGTTTTTAATCATGTACAAAATGGATCTGAAACGTTCTACGTATTTTAAAAAGTATATCACCAGAATTAAATGATTCACTAATCCAGTTCAATGACAACATAAATATTATTCAGACATCCACGGCTGTTCACTGACATTCCAGGATTCGAATCCTGCGAGTAACAGGAGTCGTGGATGAGAACTGCTGATGAGTCCCATACCAGGACGAAACGTCTGTCCAGTGCTTCCAGGTTTCCAGTTGTGGTCTAACAATGATTAATTTACGATTTCAATGTGTAAAAACGCTGATCACCATAGCTCTAACTGAAAAAATTTCACTATTCTCTTAGAACTATTGATCTTGAGTTATGTAGTCTATATGAAATTACAAAAACTAATTTTAACATGATATCCATGAAAATTCTGCTGGATTGAATTACGATTAGTTAACACGCTTGCTCATTGTCCCATCTTATGAACCATTTTTAATGACATTCCTTATGGTTTGAATAAACGTCGTTTAGTATTGCTCGTTGTTAATATTTTCGCAGAAATTCAGTTCATTTTGGTTGGCTTATTTTCGAAACATATTGTCAAACCCCCAGGTCTCGATTGTGAACATGTTTAATGTTGTACAATTGGATTTGTTGTCATTACCTCATATATGATATTCAGGAGCTAACACTTAATAGAATGTAAATGCCGCGTAAATTACAGCTTTAAGACAAGTTATTTAGCGATAGTGATAATAAATTTGCTATGCAAATCATAATAAATACTAAACAGCAGCACTGAACATGTATTCCAATATATTCTAAATTAAGTGGAATAGATCATTCAAAATCCTTAATATAAGGGTAATTTTAATATCATGTGAAAAATATGTTAGGTTTCATCGAAGTATTTACTAGCGGAGATCGAATTGTCTAGTGATATGAGTTGGTTGTAATCGAAGTATCAGTGGATGAAATTCATTTAGGAAGTTTGGATACCGAAATTATTTAAAGACAAATGAAAGTTGTGACTTCTAGCCATAGGAAAATGCACATATATATATATATATATATATATATATTTTCTTGGCATGCCTGAAAAGAATTCTGAATAGTATTTTGATTCTATTCCATTATTGAGGCGAAGTAAAACAGTTAAATTTATCTTAAATTTTTAATATTGACAGTGATCACTTCAAATATTATTGATCAAGGATTTTTAGGTTAACAAACTGTGTAAAATTAGTGCATCATCTGTCGATTAATTGTAGCTAATTAGCAATAAACTTTCCGTTGTTACACATATTATAGGAATATAAGATATCTTAGTAAATCAGTTAAGTACTTCTCTCGTTTTGATAATAAAAATAAATTATATTTATGTCCCCAGTTTAAAATATTTAGACATTCAGATTTAAAAAATAATTTTATTTATGCAACAATTTACATTTAGAAAGAAGTCTAAATACTTTTTTTAATTTAGTGGTTAGTTCTTAAAGTATGCTTTTTAAACTAGAAATAATAAATATCACGGACTGAAAACTCAGGTTCATTGCATAGATATTTGATCCCTATTTGGGACTCTTCACTGGTGCAAACCAAGGATATTACAAGGATTGAGTAGTTGTATGATAAAAACTTCAATCATTTCACAGTATCCGCGTTTCAACAGTATCCTGTTCTACGCAAAACTTGAAGATTTTTGCTATACTCCTTTAGTAAGGTTGCAGTTACTAATGGAACACTAACTCCCTAACTTGATTCAACAGTTCATTTAAAAAACTAATCACTCTTAACCATTATGTTAAATATATCGTTTCCTCTTAAATTAAATAAAATAAATAAAAATAATTGCTTATTCAATAATGTATGTTTTGTACAATGTAAAATTCTCAGCACGGAATATTTCAACAGGTTTCCTTTACAGCAAAGATTAGTGATTGGCATTTGGAAGTAAACAGTCCAGTAATCGACATCGTATTAACGTTCATTCTTTTCTGAATAGATGGCCAGACATTTTAGACATTTTTGTGCTTTGCGAAGCAATAACTCGTAAAATGTGAGTGATTAAAGAACTTAACTGACTTGTTACAACAAATAAAAGAGGGGTAACTTGTTGAAATATTTTGATATTCAGAAACAGGCAGCCCAAATATTTAAGCAGGTTGTCTTTTCGAATTGAAATTTATTGATTGTATTATGTGAAACTTCTTCTGATCATAACAATATTCTGCAAATTGCGTTCACAGTTTATTTATTAAGGGATCAGGATGTATGACATTCACAAATAAATAAAACATTCATTAATTATAGGTAACTCAATAGCGACAAGAATATGAATAGATATCGGATGAAAAAATACTGACATAGAGGATTGTAAACTGTTTTTGTTGACTTTAAAATTGATTCATGATTCATTCACCAAAATAGTCATTACTCACTTTCTGAGTTTGACAATTAGTTATTGTATCTTGTTGTGACCCGTTTAAGATAAATCTAGTCTCATTGAACTTTAATTCGTAAGTCTGCTATGTATTTTCAAAATGGATGTAATTTTAAAGTTTCCCTTTTAATAAAGTAAATTTTATACTTAGCTAGTATAAACTCTGGTCACATTCATAATTTTGAAGCTTTCAGTGTAGTAATTAAAAAGAAAAGTTCTTAACGGAAATGGTATTATGTACAGTGGTATAGGTTTTTAAATGTTTTTGATACAAGGATTCTAATGATTACTATATTTGGTTCAACTTACGGGTTCTTCTGCACTTTGTCTCTATTTCTTTTGTGTAGTGATAGCTGAACCTCAAAACTAAGCAAATAATATAGTTTGTTTGCTCATCTAGTCTTCCTCAGTTTAAAGTGAAACTATTATGCGTAACTAAGATATGAATATGTCGAAAGCCAATGGTCATATATTTCTTATTTACATAATAGACGTATCCTTCATAGCATCACATATGGGGGTAAAGTAATCATTAAATTACGTATATTTTAACGAATTGTAAGGTTATATACAAGTTAACCATTCGATAAGAAACCAGTATAGTTCAGAAAATCATTCAGTGAGAAATCAAGATTGATTTAGAAAAACTAACAGACCCAAACCTTATATCGAGTTTTAAACTCTAGTTTGAGTCACAGAAGTCGAATGAGTCTCACTGGTACTGATATACCGTACCCATAAGTATCACTAATAACTAGGTCTGGGGTTAGGATCGATTTTTATCATTTTTAAATGTACTACTTCAGCATAGTTAAGGACGATAGGAGTCATTCAAAATCACTATCATTTAATTTCAAGACAGACATTATTCAGGTATTCACCAAGAATCAGGAAGTAGTGTACCTATTTCATGCTGTTGTGAAGCTTATTGGCGATGAGAACTGATAACCGAAAGTCAAAGTAGTTTAGAGATGGTAACCGTAGACTTTTATAAATTTTTTTTGAACCATAAGCTGCACTATAAGTATAACCTTGTTTAATAGGATTCAATCATCATTGAGGTCTAAATAACGTATCGCTTGATTGTTATGTGGAAAGCATTTAAATTACATAGTCTAGTACTACAACGGGTCACCGTTAGCTAATAACTGTTAGCTAATAACGGTTAGGGCGTTCGCGCACAATACCGAAGTTCCTGGGCTCGAATCCTGCGGGATGCAGGAGTCGTGGATGCGCACTGCTGAGGAGTCCCATACCAGGACGAAACGGCCGTCCAGTGCTTCCGGGTTTCTAATGGTGGTCTAACATTGTTCGATTCATGGTTTCGAAAATGTGTAACTTACCAATCTTCACAACCCCTGTAATGAAAATAACTTTCATTGTCAATGTTTAAGATCGTAGTATTTAATGGGCACAGTTCAAATACCTGAGTAAGCATCGACTTTTTTGGTGGATGGTAAACATAAATTGCTAATCAGTATGATCAGTAATGAAATTAACAGTCAACGTTTTGTTGACGCATACAAGTCTGATAATATAAAACTGCCTTATCTATAAAGCGCATTATATAATGTTCTTTATTAATGTTCATCATATCATTTCTGATGTCGATAGTAATGATATTTTCTTCATAAATGCTAATTATTGGTCATACACTGTAAGTGTTTATAGTATATACAACTCATGGACAGAATTATGAAAATCCTAATGTACTTAATAATTCTCATATAATTTACTTAAACAGTTCGAAAATGTTAGTTTTATTTGAAAACAGTTTTTCGTCTCTAACTGACAGAAACTGGTGAGTTGTTGGAAACCGAGAAACAGTAGTTAGCTGTTTTGTTCGATTATATAACTCTTCAATCGATGCACCTACGATTTTACACGGTATCAAGTTCGAAGTATTTAGGTTTCGTAACGAATACATTACTTTACACCACTAATTTGTGATTCATTTCATGTTTAACTTCACTTAAATTTAAAGTATAGCATGAAGAAAATATAGTATCATAGTCCTAAATAAATCGAGACGAGAGTTCTGTATTACCTTGTTAAATACAATCCAAATGTATTGATGGTTTCCATCGGTTCGGCAATTAAGTAAATTTTTTTTCAGCATAAGAAAAGGTTATTTAGTAACCGACGTTAACATACAACTTAGGAGTTAAACAGTTGGAACTGTCGCTAATTCCTTAACGTATTGCACGACTGATCAGTTGAAGAAAAGGTGGAGATTAAGAATAGTTTAATAGTATACTCATATTATCAATTAGGATTTAACAAAAACAATAGAATTTCAAAGATTTGGAAAACATAAAATCAGCTAACTTATATATTAAAATAAGTCTATGTTAACAATTCCAAATTATATTTGTCATCTTTTCACAAATATCAGAGGAAACTAAGGACTACCAGATCTTAAAATCAGATAAATGTTCTATAAAGAAAGACCTGCAAGATTTCACATTCTTGGTAGTCGTAAGTACTGAAATTACTTTATAGTCCAACCTATTTTATTGACAATCTATTACTGCTTAAGTAGTAAAAAATATTTACTTCGTCATTCGCCAACAGATTGGAAATATTTCTGTTTAGTTCGACATCCTACCAGTATGCAAGCGGTGACCGAGATTTTGCTATCACTAGACTAGATACCTGATTGATCAGCTGTACACAAACAGTACCATGTAATAGCTAATCAAAGACCAGAAACTAAACATTACTTTATTCAGTACAACTACAGGCAATCTACACTCGCAAATCAGAGAAGAAATTGCATAATAAATGGTTTGCAATTTGAGATTGTATCCATGTACACTTAGAGATCAATAATAACTTGATTAAACCTGTCACATATCACTATAAATCCATAAAAGGATGATTAGCGTCATTTCTAATTATCACTTGACACTTTAATAATCGACTGCTTCAAGTACGATTCATTGTAAGAAACAATTGTTTTATGCACAGAAATGATAACATATGTTTGACGATGAGTAAAGTTATTGTATGAGGAATGAAAGTCAGCTCTTGCGATAGTCAGAAAACAATTCACATTTTCCAATAATGTGTGAAATAATCAGCGATGAATTGTTCTTGAGCGAAATAATATTTGCTTTTGCATTTTTTATTCTAAATGAAATTAATGTACATCAAGTGACCTGATTTTAGTAATGAAAGTTGCATATTATACCGCTAGTCATTCACTTAAATACATGCTAAAAAAAATACTAGAATTTATTCATACTATACTGTTTTATGATTTAAAAAAAACAGAATAATTAATTAAAATTGACTGTTCTAGTGAATGATGTTATATAAAATAACACATTTCATTAACATAGATGAATTGGTAATGCATTATGGTAATCATCTCATAGTATTTACGTTCGTTTCATGAATAATATTTTAATAACACAATGTTCACTTCATTAAGGTGAACACTAGCTAGAAGAGTACCAGTAACCCGTTAAATTCAAATGCGCGTTTCAAACACTGATGACGGAGTTTTCTTCAATAGCTCATTATTTAAAAATATTATTGTATGCCTTTGCTCAATGTATTTATTTGTATTTGTATTTGTTATTTTCTTCTCTTTTTCTCTCCATATATATATATATATATATATATATATATATATATATATATATATATATATATATATGTTTCTAATCAGACAAATTGCTCAGATAGTTCTCAATCTTTAGATGAGAGTGAATTACAATCGTTGAATCACGTCGTAAATGAAAAAAATTATGAGGACAGTAATTTCTTAAGGCTTAAAAATCATTTCTATCCACATTTACAACATTTGATGAAATCACCAATCAAATCATCTTTACTATCTGATAAAAACTCAACAATTGAAACAGTATTATCAAAATCAGGATCAATGCAAGAGACTGACTTAATACCTCAATCAATATATATGGCCCACTGCATGAAACAATGTTCACGGACAGATACTAATTCATCTTTGTCATCATCATTATCGGGTGAAACTTCTGGATCAGAGATAAACCATGATTGTATGTTGCTAAATAATACCAACAACCACCCATCAAACCTTCGTTTAACTAGATAAATGAAGAACAACACTTTGTAGTATAAAGCTTTGTTGTTGATGTATTTTGGCTAGCTATTTAGATAGACGTAATGTTGAAATATTAAAATATTCTGTACAGACTACACTTATTTATCGTTTACTTATTTTTTTTCTTGTTCATTTTTGATTTGGAACAAAAGTTTTGCAGTAAAATTATTCATATATGTTCTAGTTGATTTTAAAATAATTTTATACACTTTGTACAATATAATTTTATGGAACTGGTTGCATCATGAATGACTGTGTATCTATTAAGTAAAATAGTTATTTGTTTAACATAAAATCTTGGGATATATCTAGGATTATTACTGATCCGCACACTGCTCGTTCACATTTCGTTGAACAGAACCGATTCAGAAGTTAGATGTAAATATCTGTCAGACGGTGTATTTTGAAATAAAAACAAGTTTGAGGGCAACAACCAAACAAGCCAATGAACAGATAATCGTAATCAGGAATTCAGTCAATCGAAAGGTGAGTATACAAACACATATTTTTTGTTGGTTTCGTTAGTCAGGTTAGGTTAGGTTTGGATAGAGTTAGGTTTCTACATAAACTAAAATCGTACTCGTCAAACCCTTACTAGGTTTGGGAAAGATTTTCCGAAATTCTAGTGCTCAGACCTGATCAAATGATTGATACAAGTTAGAACTAACGATATTAGAAATGACATAAGGTGACTTAAGATGTAAATATAGACAATTATATTTCGACATAATGGTCTGAAAGTGGTATTTAGATTCATTATCTTCAATCCCGAAGCCGTAAGAACCAATGAGTCTTATTAGCTAAAATTATACATCAGACATTGTAGCTACTTTGGTAATCCACTTTGCCCATGAACAGCTTATTCAAGACCCAGCGTTTCAAGTTTACCAATGTTTTTTGGACTAACCCTCAACGGAAACAAGTAAACTACTCCCCTCTGTTATAACCATCCACTTCATTATCAATGATTAACTAGGTGTGTACGAACTGCTTCGTAAATGTTTGTCAGATTTTGTTATATCAAATAGTTGCTCTTTTCACTTCTTTCTACCTGATTTAATACTAACCTAAACATGGCTACTACAATAAAGTGGATGTCCTAGGGAATAATAACATTGCTTTGAGGTGAAGTGTGTTATAGGCCAATAGGGCAATAATTTAATTACATAAATCTTTAAGGACTACGTGAAATGATCCAAAATTCGCTATATGACTGGAAAAAACATTCATAAACTTCAGTCACATTCTCTCGTATTCCTTGACAAATATCCAAATGACTAGTCCACAAACCTTGCTTTCATTGTTGTATAAGACTCTCAAGGGATTATTTTCCAGTCATGCGGTGAAAAAGTTTACAATTTATAGAGAGATCTGAATTCCATAGAATGCCGAGGGGACATGAACAAAACTTCAGAGTTTCATGCTTGAGGTACAAAAAGAGATGGTGACATTTAATTTTAAAGATCAGCCGTAAATTCAATTTCGTGCTTGTTCCACTGCTGGAATAAATCTTTAAGACTTGGAAATGGAGGTAATTCAGAAGCCTTAAACCTCAGTCATGGAAACTAAAGCAGCTTGGAAGCTGTAAATGAACTTTATTCACAGCTGGTAAAAATTCCTATTCCCACGATCAGATTTTATTTGAAGATGTATTCTCAAGGTTGTTTAACTAGTACTGATTTTTAATTCCAAACTGACGTGTATGAATAATGTTCAACCTTAGGTTATAGGTTAGAAGCTGGTCCTCTAACACAAGTAAAATGAAAAACACTGAATATTAATTGCACATAACTATGTGCATGAATAAATAGGATTATACCTTTATTCAAATAGTCGATAAATGAACGTAACTTAAGTATTACTAACCAACGTATCGTGCTCGTGAGAGGTAATGCGTTCGGTTTCCATGGTTTATTGATTTTACTTTAACGAAGAAACGACGATGGAAACTTTCATTAGTATAATCAGTTATACCGGTGAACGTTTTACCGAACATTTTGTTCATTCGTAACTTCGTACCGCACTTTTATGCCTTTCGATCGCCATCTTGCTTTCGCTTATTTGTAACTTTTCCCATGTCTCTGGCACGTTTTGGTTTTTTTTCAATACCACAAAATCGCCAGCGAATACACTTGTTTCATCTGGCCTATCCCGTCCTTGCGTTTATAAAAACAAGAGTTGCGATAACACTTGCGACCCGAAATTAACTGGTTTGTAGACATGTTCATAGTCTTTTGACTCGAACGTCAACAATCGTTCGGATATTATAGTGTACCGGATGAATGAATGGTAAGGTTACATAGTTTAAGTAGCATAGCTCAGTGACTATGACTATTACTATGAACCTCTTATGTTATGATTTGGGAAATTCCCATTGTGAAACTTGATCATAACATCATTTAAAATTTGTTTAGAATGCCAGTGGATATGGATTCGACTTATCACTTGTAGTGCGTCGATTTACTGCGTGTTCTTAATCTCGGTAATTAGCTCGTCCAGACAATCGTTACTAAGTAGCGTCTGACGGTTATATCAGAAGGTGAACTCGTAGTGATGAATACGTTTATTTGGGACACGCCACAAAGCGGAGCGATGAAGCAGTGAATGAAACGAAAGAAGTGACGTGAATTGGAGAAGGCTGTTGAGCCAACTCCTTGGATTACAATGCGAACGAATGGGCGAAGGAAGCGAATGAACAGGCGAAGCGCGTTGGAGAAGGCTAATGAACCAACTCCCAGAGTTAGAGCATGATTAAGAATATATAGTCAGACCATAATAAGACAGACATGCGACCAACGAGATAGGCATGCACACATATGAAGAAAAGCGACGAATGATTGACAAGGTCAAATGGCAAGCAGGAAACGTCATGTGAGCTTATACAAACCAGACAATAATAAGAACGAATAGTACATATAAATTGTTGAAATACAAATGGCATAGTTAAATAAATTAATCGAAACGGCTTAACCAAATTACATATAAGCGAAATCGAATATATGTGCAGGCACTACACGGTAAAGAAAAAAGCTTCCTAGTAGACCCCTATCATCAGCTGCGAAAAGTATATTCAAATAGTCTACTTGAATTTCTTACACGAGGAAGCGAATGAATTGTGATCATTCCATCATTCCATCGCGAGTTGCAACGGTTGCGTTACGACGAATTGATAATGACTGCGAAAATATACAGGATAAAGCCAGGTATGCATATAACAAGAATTGAGGAGCTAAGTGTGCCAAGATCTGCTTGACATTCATCATATAATAAATTAACCGGCTCCTGGGTAAATTAACCACGTCTTCGGCAAATATCAAAACTAATACTGACGGATTAGAATAAGGTGTTGTAAAGGAGAAATAAGGAAAATGGATCGAGGAGCAGGAAATATTCTTGTTTAAAGCCGAACAATGACCCAGCAGATAATTTTTAAAATTAGAACACTAACTGTACACCTTCACTTATGTTGGTTAATGAAGGCAATTCTCTAGTAAGATAATGAATGTGCAATTAATCTTATGAATAGAGGAAATTCAGAAGAACCAAAATGTTAGTAATTATGTTGATGTACAGAATATAATAATGAGTTAATTCTTTGGTACACTTTTTAATGACAGCAACTGCCACAGAACATCAATATCAATATAGCCGAATGTGGTGATTGGCATTATGTACGATTCTGTTCATTTAAAAAACATAAATGTCAGATGTGCAACACACGTGGACATAAAAAAGGCCATTGTCAACCAAATCGTACGTCTCAACCCAGGAAGAGGCACAAACGGACTCAACATGTGGTGAAATTAGCCGCGTCTAAATCACTTTCTTTGGTAGCTGCTTTTCAAACAGACTATGACGTTCGGAGAAAGATTGTTACTATCCAGATGAACGGTTCATCAGCTCGTTTTCAAATCGACATGGCATCAGATATCATCTTAGTGTCTAGAGAAACGTATGACTTGCTGGGTAAACCGCCAATGGTGTAATGAAGGAGAACGCAGGTGAGAGCAACCGAATTGTATTTAACGAAAGTTACAGAGTTACTCAGTAAAATAGGAAAACCATATCGTAACCGTTAATTCGCAAATCATCAATCCATCATCAATCCATTGTCTGACATTTCACTATTCATTCGTTTCATACAAATTCCATTGTGTTCCCACTCTTCCTTTCTTGATCTTCCTCCATCTTCTGCTGCCAGACATTACGTTTACACTGGCGTCATATACTACTTATAAGTAGCGCGCACCATAATGAAAACAGCTAAAAACACTTCACGTGTTGTGTTAAAACTGGTTGGTGAATTCCAGTGTGAATTTTCCTTAAACGGAACAAAATGTACAAGAAGATGCTATCTAATAGAACGACCAAACCTTGATCTTCTTGGTCTAGATATGCTAGAAAAACTGGGAATAATGGATTTACCCATTAACAGTGTCTACAGCGTATCGTGTTCATCATTGGACACACCAATACTTACAAAGAAGTCAGGTGAATGGTTACAGGATAGACGAAAGAGGAAGTCATCCTCTGTTTTTCAGAATAGCTTTGGCCACTGTACCAATATGAAAGCTCACGTACCAGTGAAAGAAGATGCCAAACCTATTTCACGTCCGAGACGTCCTGTACCGTATGCTGCTCATGAGCCTCAACAAAACTTACCGATGGGAAGAAGTCCAATCGAGGTTAGCTCACAGATATGGCTCCTACAAAGCAGGCGGCTCGTAAGAGTACTGGTGGCAAAGCACCCAGGAAGCAGTTGAACTATAGCACCAGATCCTACGAATCTGCTCAGAGATGGATTAAAGCATGACTACGTTAGCTGCACCTGGCCCATACTTGGAGAACAGGCTAGAAAATTCTCGTGTTGTTGGCTGCATGCTGATTGGGAAAATCTAATCCGGTCAGTGCTAGTCAATCACGTGAATTACGTTCCAGAAGCTTCTCATGTAAAAACTATAAGGACACTAACGTTGTATCTATTTCGCCTT